TTTTAAATTACTTATTGTAATTGTAATATTATTACAATATAAAGTATAATTAAAGTATGATAACTTTAATTATTCCATTTAAAAATCGCTTTAAAAAAAATAGGTATATAAATCAAAATTTTATTTGTAAAATTAACTACAACACATTTGTACAAACAATGAATTTGAAAACATATTTTATTTTAATTATTCAAGACGACTTTTTACGGTTTAAGGTATGTATTTACAATGACATAAAAATAAAATTAATTTTGCGAAATTTGTACACATTTTTATTAACTATTTTATACAGTTTTTTGAAAATAATAAAACAAATATTCTCATTAAACAATTTAGTAACCCAGGAACCACAATAAAACAGCAATAGAAGACAAAACTTCTAAATATCAAACTTTGTATAAAATATTAAATATCATTCTCAGATAATGAAATGTTAAAGTTAAGATATAAGACTTAGAATTTAAGTATTGTCCCAAAACATATATATTTATGATCTCTGCCTGCGAAGTGTATGATCTAATTTATTCTAATTTTTCAATAAAATATTACGAAATTTAATCAGATCATACATCAATTAATATAATATATCAATTGGTCAGTATAATATATGAAATTGTGAATAAAATATTATTTGTTTCATATAAATTTTTCTTTTGTTTAATAGTATTATTTTTAGTGAATCTAATTAGATTTAAATATTTTTATTTAACCCGAATAATTTCTATTATTTTTAAACTCTTCAAATATTTTCAAGTAAAATATAAATGTTCAATATATTAAAATTATAAAAATATAATTATACAAATATTTTTATATTTTATTGATTAATCTCATGATTATCAATGATAATAGTAAAGATTTATATGCAATTATAAATTTTGTTATGTTATTCCGAACACATCGTCAGTCAATACAAATTTGTATTAATTGATTTGAAAACTTAGTAATTTGTTCTTACTAGGGTTCTAATATTGAAGAGATTATAATACGCTCAATAAATTTCCCTAAAGGAGAGTCTATTTCATTTTATAAGGTAAAATATTTTACGCTACTATATATTCCTACAGCAAATTTATACAAACCTGATCTATTTAAAATGGCTCAAACATCGTTTATAAATACATATAAATCTGGTCTTTAATTATTATTATCTCTTCATTTTTAAATAAATAAACATATATGTTGTGAACACATAATCATATAACTTATCCATAATAGTAGGTCTGCAAGGACGACCTTATTGACAAGGTTTACAAAGGAAAACAGATTCCTTTCCAAACATACGAAAAATTGCTGAAATCCTTTTTTGGGTTACACTTATCTTTCTTACTAATCGAGTACTCAATGCTAAAAGCTAACGGACACTTTCTTACAAAATATCCAATTTAAAACTATAAAACGCATTATAATAAGACATTTGGAGGTGTGTTCAGAGTAAACAATGAATTAAAGTAATACTGCAATGGACAAAATAAAAGAAAAAAGCTTTAAAAACAGTACCAATATGTTCTATAAATGAATATCGTTGACAATAGAAAGAAATGAACATAAAAGAAAATTTATCATTGTATAAATATACTTATTCTTTTTACTATAGTAAAAAGAAGCATCACCATTGAAAAATAATAAATTTAAAACTTCAAAAACTGTAACTGTCACCTTTATAGAAATTAAAAGAGGCCAGACGGAATAAATGATAAATATTTCTTCTAGTAGATTTTTTTGTAGATTTTTACACACCCAGAGAGAACATAGAATGAAAATAACTTAAGTGAACTTTAAGTAGATCCGATTTTATGTCGAGAAATGCGCTTGGATGTTAAGGGCTGACATAATGAACGATATTTAATATTCAACTTTAAGTTACTGCTATTATTGTATAAATATATCACAACGAACAAAAAATGTTTAACTAGGATACTTTTGATTAGAAATCCCATAAAGAAGGGTATGAAAGAAAATTTCCTTCGAAAACATTCAAGTATAAATTGTTCTTATTTCCATAACATTAACATTTTTTTACAATTTAAGTCAAAAGTATAACTTGAAATAAACTGAATATTTTCTAAAACACACTCATTTTGAATATGCTCAATATGTTCAAGAAATGAACACCTTTTATTGATACAATAGAATAAAATATTGGCTAGGTTCGATGGCCTAGAAGGGGTAGAAGATGTATTGGAGTATAAAATGTGAGTGAGGTGTAGAAATATTTATCACTTATGTGAATACTATTTGAGTTTATCTGCCCATGAGCACATGTTCTTCAAAAACAGAAAATAAAATACGAGTATAAATCCACCTGGGTAAAATTAAATTTCCATAAACATCGGTTTTTTGTTCAAAACCTTCGATTTTATCCATGTAAAACCATTTAGAATATATACTTTTTAAATCCAGTAAACATTTTTATTATATTACAGAACTAGTGAAAATATTTTAAGCTTTTTGTTGTATTGAATTTCTACTTAGGAATACGCATTATACACACGCCTTGATTTTTTGAGTAATTTATAGAGCTAGCGCCAAAATTACTTTGTTCGAGTAAATAAAAACTAAAACAACTAAAAATTTTTTTAGATTAACATTTAGAACTATTCAGGCACACTTTAAATATTATAACAGACTCAACTGTTTGCATATATTACTATTTCATACATAACTTAAACTTAATTTCCACCTTCTGTAAATGACATTTAATAAATTAAATTACATATTAGTAAAATATGATTATAAAATAAAATAAATAAATAAAATAGAAAGTTTACATTTATAACTAATACAAATTAAATGTAAAGAATTTTTTTATTAAAAATGATGAGGAGTTACTTTTACTCAAAGGTCTACTAAAAATGTATACAGACTTGTAGTATAATGAGAATAAAAAAATTAAATCAGTTAATACTAAACTATAGTTAATATATATTTCATATTAATTGCATTCAAGACTTCAAACTGGTTACCTCTTATTATTAACAAGTAAAATACAAAAATGATAAATTGATTTTAATAAAGTTTGGTTATAATGGAATGTACATTTTTACACTTGTGCCATTAAGTATTCATAAGATAACAAATAAAAGCAGAGATTATTTAGTGGGATGATAAATTCCCTCAGAATAAAAATGATTACATTGTGAATATACATTTTTTTTTAATAACAAATTAATAAAACTGAACAAACACCTTATGAATAATGTTACATATTAATTGCTAAAATAAATTTAATATTACACCACAATTAATATCGTCTAAAATCAACAATTTTATTTGATCAATATAGTAGAGAACAAAATAAACAAGACAAAATTAAATGATTTGTTTTTCTAAGAAATGAATTGGATCATAAAGTATCATGTAGAAAAATAATTAAAAATAATAAAATAAGTTTATTTGTATGAAATAAACACCAAATAACTACGAAGAAAAATATCAAATCAATATAGCAATTCGTTTTATTAGTACTAATAAAGTAATATAGTAATTGATAATAATTATCAATTGTTACGGGATTTATACTACATCAATATTAATTATTAACATATTTTTAATACATTTAAATTTCGTTTTATTATTTTATGTTAGTTATAAAATTACAACAATCTTTTTTACAAACATATAAGCTACGTAATAATAGAACTTCTTCTATATCAATATAGATCAATAATCGATACATAGACTTGAATTTTATTACCTAACAGAATACTTGGTTAAGATGAATTTAAATAATACCTAATGATATAAAATCATGTTTTACACAGTGTTTGTTTACCTTCAAAAATAAAAAACATAATATAATTTTTTTAGAAGCTAAAAGTATCTTAAACATATATTTACTACAATTTTTATTATAATTTAAGTAAAAATTGATCGATTTATAATGTTTTACCAAATGATTATTTTATAATATAAAAAATTTTATGGGTTTAAAACTTTACTTTGTACTCAAATTCGTTAAATTACAGAGATAAACGAGACTTTTTTTTTTAATATTAGCATATACACCATATTTATCTACTACATTTTATAATTAAAACTTGAATGTTTTATCAAATAGTTATTTTATTGTGTTATAAATACAATGCATTTTTAAGTATAATTTATTTATATTTTTTTTAACTATAGAAATATAGTATACTGAAATTTTGTTTAATATTTAAATAAAAAAAGATGACTAAATGTGTAATGAATTTTATTTTTTAATCAATATTAATCTGTATGATTTTTAATCTTTAATTATTGTTTATTTGTTTTTTATTCTGTTTAATTTTATAAAAGGTAGTTTGGTTTTTTCTTTAAAACTTGGTTTTTAATTTTGTAATTTAAACAACTGTTGTGAAATTCACATTTTTACTGTTTATTTAGGTGCATGCGCCTAAATTGTATTGTTTTGATTTTAATTTTTGCACAAAAGTTTAATGTGTATAATTTATAATTTTGGAAATAAATTACCACAAAACTGCCTGAGATAATTATCAAGGAAATTTTTTCCTGATCAATGGACTTTTTATTATTTTATTCCTGGATTTTTTAAAATTTTGAACCGACACTACTTATAGTAACAATTTTCCTACCACCAAATATAAAAATATTTATATCTTCCAAAGCATTGATTCAAAAGTCGTTATATACTAAAAAAAAATTGTTAATTAATATTTACAAAACTATATTTTTTTTAGAAAAAATCTAATGGTCAATAATAGATCAAATATTCCATGCAGTTATTTTCCAATAAGAAATCAATATAATATAAATAAATCGAATTTAAACTCAGTTTTATTTTTGAAAATTAATAAAAAGAACTGAAATCGTGGAAACCCATAAAACAATTTCAAAGGAAATAATACAAACGTTTGACTTAATTGACGCTTGAAAATAAACAATAGCCTATTTGAATAATGTATTATTTTTATGATGTATTTTTATTGAATTTCCCTTTGTTAAGGCAATGCAAATACTCGAAAAATAACTCGCCTGATAGTGTACAAAGAACTCACCCGGAAGTACTGTTCTTGATGAATAATCAATTCGGTGCAAAAGGAAACGATAATTTCTGCTGTAAGAATAGTTTCCTGAAATAAAAAAAATAAAACACATTATAAACGGTATATGTTTATTTGATTTTTAGTAAAGGATTGAAGTATATGTCGAAAGTAAATCTTAATTGTCTTATGTTCGCATGGAATTTAACAACTTAATCGGGTAATCAGTTACTCGCGTCCACATGTATGACTTTTATAGTCGCCTACTTTCCCTGTCTGAATGTTTCCATAAGGCTCACTAATCCAATAGAAGATGTTTTCTTATCACGTTCAAATGACTTCGATAAGTTTATAGGTGAACGTTGTTCCAAAGTAAAAACAAAACCTTTAAGTTGTACCTATTTGTTCAGCTTATATCTATAAAACATCTCCGTCGACATTAATACGAGTTGGTTTACAAAAAATGAATGCACAAAGAAAAACGAATGAACGTCATTATCTTTTACATTTTTTATTTCGTTCTAATAAAATATATAAGTTTGACTATAAATGAGTTGTTTTTTTAGGATTGTCAACTGTAACGGTAGATGGCGAGGATCAACTCGGTAAAAATCAAAACAAATAATTTGATATCGTTCAAAACGGATTTCGAAGAATACATTTATGGTCAAAAAATAAATGCGCTCGAATAAAAATGTAAAACAAATGCGGTCTAGTTGAAATAGAGTTTGTTTGTGGAGTCCGCTTGATTAATAGTATTTCTAATTACACGTTTCCCGAGACTTTTGATGGCGTCCATGTCATTTAGCGCACAGTTTTACGGACCTATACAAATACACGGCAAAATGAATTGTTTTGAATTGCTAAGGCGAACTTCTGTTTAAAAGTGATTGTTTTCGTTGAGTTGACGTATTCGGTTAATTACTGTTTATCGTCTCGTGTATTAATAAATCACGCACACATAAAATACCCCGCGAAAGATGTTTCACATTTTACGAAACGGAATATATGCGACGCCTACGGGAAACTAACGCTGCGAATTCGTCGCCCTGTTGTTTACTGTGGAAAGGATTCCGCTAGGTTCAGAACCGCATGCCTGTGTAACTTTTTATTGGCTATATTGTAAGCCCGAACGCGGTGTGTTTGTGAAAGTAACGGTAGCGCCATTGGGCTAATAACCCCGTCCAACAGAATCGTTAGAACATTTTATACATAGCTTTTCTACCCTGCCATTCGTAGCGCCTGGAGCTGCTACCGCTAAAAATTAAAGAAAAAACCATTTTACCCCTTTCGCCGACACACGAGAAAGAGTGGAAAATATTCATCTCTTGTGCCGGCAAACACATCATCAATTACCGGAGCAACGACACCGTGCGAGGCCTTTCCCGGTCGCCAACGGTACTACATGAATAATAGAGGTATCTGGGTTTCTTCAAACTTGTTCAATGTTTTCGTGCATGTGCTTCAGCCATAACCTCGTCGATCGATTCTTGGGTTTTTGCTGACTTCAGATGGGTCGATAGTAATTAAAATGGCGGCAGACCGCACAGCAACCGCCGGCACGAGGCCGGTCGCAAAAGGTCGGGCCGACATCTTTTGCCGGACAAATACGTTAGCCGTTGACGACGTACAGACGATTACATTAACCGTAAGTTTGACGTCAGAGACTATTAACCGCAGCCGGTGAAAACCTCCGAAAAGTTTAACACCATACTCTATAGTTACACGCCAGGCCGATGGCCTAAAACCTTTTCCGCGTTCACACTCGGTAAAATACTAAAATTGATGAAAAAATCGACCAAAGATGGGTCATGATTTCGACTCTATGAAATCGATTTATTGAATCTTGTAACTGTATCTTTGATTTAAACATAACTCATGTTCGTGGGTTCTGAGAAATTAATGGAATCGAGTATTGGTTAATCGTTGTAACATCTTTAACTTAATGATTATATGGCATTAGGGAGGTAATCTTTACCTTTAAAGTAACGATATGCATTCAACAAATTAATATCGTTTTATAAAAAAAACAAAAATTTGGTAGAATTTAAATACTACAGAATTGCACCGAATCATTCTTATAACCTACAATTGTGTTAACCTACAATGATACGCTAATCCTATCGACCTATGTATCGTTAATTTGCTATTTTTATTTAAACAATAACATATATGATAATAGTAAATAATGTAATTCATAAGTATAGATATTTGAGTATAACGTGTAAAAACGACAATAGTTATATTTTTTCCCGTAGTTCATAAATCGTACTTAATTTCTGCATTAAAATAATTATTAATAGGAATTACAGTAGTAACTTATTACGAAACGATATGACGAAGGGGACTACAAGCTATGAGCAATAAAATATTAATAATGTCTATTCGATGGCAGATAACTCATAAAATAAACTGAAATTAGATATTGGTTTTTATAAATAACATTGCTAAATGATATCAGTAATTGAAATGATAACAATTTGTATTTTCTCAAAGGCATAATGCATTAAAACGGATGAAATTTTTCTAAAATAGACTATAATAATTACATACAGTCGTATAAGTTGATAGAATAATTCTATCATTTAAAAAAAAATACTTGAATCTTTGATTAAGTATTATAGCTTTGAAAAAAAGTCTAACTCGTCTTTGAATCGAGGAAAATATCATTGATAAATTTATTGTAGATACAAAAAAACACACCACACTTTAAATCAAAGATAACATTTGGTTTATTTAAAGAACTTTTTTTTCTAAATATACCTAAACTGTTCCAAAATCTGACTAACATTTCATCGTATTGATAAAATCTTGTTTGTAAAATATGATTATTATGAAAAATATTTCGAATACGACAGTATCGATTTTGTAAGTGAAAAAGAAAAAACGGGATCGATTTTTGTCGATTAGGACTATTTTTCACCTATCGAGACATAGAAATTTTTTTTTTTTTTTTTTTTTTTTTTTTTTTTATTATCAAAACAATCTGTATAATACAATACAATAAGTTTTTTTTTTATCTATTATTTACATGGCTTGAAGAAAAATTAACGTGCAAGGAAGTCACCCATTGGTAACACCTCTTTGTAAAGTTAAATTAAATTTTTGTTAATAGTTTATGTAAGTAGGTCACGATTCCAGTTGCGTTTCAGTCTACGTGTAGGATTGTCGGGAAGGTTGGTAGTGTACATACGTTTGATAAGGGGGTTTGTATTGAGGTTCAGTTTAGAGTAAAATCTAGTGTAGTGCAGTTTGGCTAGTTCGTTAACTGTTTTAATTTGTAAGTCTTTATGTAGGTTATTGTTAGTAACGTACCAAGGAGCATTAGTTATCATCCGGAGCGAGATGTTCTGGAACGCTTGGATTGGACGTATATTTGACGGCTTTGCAGGACCCCAGATTTGTATACCATAAGACCAAACTGGTCTTATGATAGTTTTATAAATCAACATTTTTATGTTTAGTTGCAGTTTGGATTTGAGTAAGGGCCGGAAGATATGTAGTCTAGCATTTGCTTTTTTCCGTTTTTCCTTGAGGTGAGGACCCCAAGTTAAGCGCTTATCTAAAATGATTCCTAGGTATTTTGTTTCGTCTTGAGGGGAGATCGTAGTGTTATTAATTTTTATAGCTGGACATATTCCAGGTCGAAGAGCAAAAGTGACGTGACTAGACTTGTTTTCGTTAATTTTTATTTTCCAATTTCTGAACCATGACTCTATACTATTCACATGCTCTTGAAGGTTTTGAGCTGCATCGTTTAAATTTTTATGGGTTGACAATATGGCTGTGTCGTCAGCAAATGTTGCTATAAGAGTATTTACGTTATGAGGTATATCCGCTGTGAATATGTTATACAAATCGGGGGCTAGATCACTGCCTTGGGGAACACCAGCTTCAATTGTGTAATATGGTGAATTAACACTACCCTGCCTGACGGTAAATTTTCTTTCTTGTAAATAAGAATTAATAATTAAGTATAATGGCGCTGGAAGCATTTTTTTTAATTTATAGAGCAAACCATTATGCCAGACACGATCAAATGCCTGGCCGACATCTAAAAATAGACCGGTGCAGTAGACATAGAAATAAAAAAAAAATATAGTTGTAGGTATTTTAAAATGCCTCAAACTGTTAATTTATGGTAACTGATAACATAGTTAACGACCAACATTAAATAATAAGCCTTAAAGGCTTTTAATTTATGATTTAATGTATAATTAGTTAAGAAGTGGTTAATTTCAATTAATCACTTTTAATCTGGTATATGAATAAATCATGCATTTAATTAGAAACTTCTTAAAAATTTCTAAGTAAATTATATGTAAAATGTTGTTAATATTATTATATATAAGTATTAATCATATTAAAATATATTTTAATAACATTTTATTTACGATGTTTACTTTGGAATTTAAAGGGAATGTTTGTTAAAAACACGTGCAAAATGAATTTTATAAGAGATCTCTTCTACTCCTTACGACCATTTTAATACTTTGTTATTACCAACTTGAAATATTTAATTAGTTAATAGTGTTTGGGAAACTGCTGCAGTAATGCGCTTTTTAACCTAACAATATTGTAATAAAACAATGTATTATAAAGTGCTTTGTTGTTTTAATTAGTAAAACAACTACAAATAAAAATGTTCTTTATAAATACTTAATATAAAATGTTTATAATTGAGAAGATATTATAAAAATAATAAATTAGGTACTATTAAAAATAATAAAACGGTGTTTACCTTAACGGTAGTGAAATAACTTACTATTGATTATAAAATTATAATATATTATAATTTTTTAGTAACATGGGAATTCGTTATTCGAAACTGATAGGAATTTCTTTTGAAATTTAAGTGATTTCTTATACATCGCAAACGCTTTACCACTTTATTAATTTAGTAAAATAAACGAGCATTTAATTAACATTAAGAGATAGGAAAAATTTAAGTACCCACGAGAAAATAATAAAATAGAAAGGTATTACACTTTTTTGACGGTTGTTTTCTAAGGTTAGCACATCAGTGACGGTAGTCCAATCAACACGTCTGCGGAGACCAATAATAGATATTTTCCTTCTTTTAGACATGTCATTAACCGCCTTCTAAGGAGTAAAAAAAACTTACTGCTTTATCGTGTCAGGAAACTATTTATAATTTGAGACGTATTGACGGGCTAGTTGACACGTCCGCCAATAAAAAAACAAACACACCAAGAAGTTTGACGTTTAATCGTTAATACTAGCGCAGCTGAGTTAAATAAAAACTTAACCATAAAGTGTATACATAGACATAAAATAAAAAGAGTATGTAATATTGCATTTTTTAACATGAACATAAATTTATTTATAAATCACGTTTTCAAAAAATCATATTGTCATTGAGTACAATATTTTTTTTCATATTTCTATATATTGTGAAAAAAACTGTAAGCGGCTTTTACTCAGTCAAACAAATTTCCAATAACTTAAAAACTCACGAGTAAAAAATACCACAAAAAATGTCCGGGTTTTGAAAAACTATTGAACTTTGAGACTTAATTTATTTTTATTCAAAACTATAAAATATACCGTTTTTTTATTAAATACCGAATCAGTTTGGTGGTGAATTTCTGAAGCAATACACTGATATATTATTATATGATGGCCATTACTCCTTTGGCGATTCAAATAACCAGTTTATTTAAGGCGTATGGACGATATTTAAAAACTTTTTAATTCAGATAACCTAACTTAAAAAAATTGCACATTCTTACATCGGGTGAACGTGTGAGCTATTTTTCATCACTTCAGAGGACAGGGTCGTATTTATAATTTTGGCGTCCCTAATTCTTTTTTAGAATTGCCCTTTAAATAATATTAATGAAGCAAAAAGAGTGAACATATTATTTCTATCGTCCTATGGGAAATAATATCTTCATTATAATCATAATAATTTATAATAATAATAATAATAATAATAATAATAATAATAATAATAATAATAATAATAATCATAAAATATCGCACTTACACATACGATAATAATCCTAAAATAAATATTGACTATATAAAGTGTCATATACATTGTAACTACCAATGTTAAAATAAAAAATTTAAGTCATGCAAGGAACTTATGCCTAAATTTCACGAATCCACAACATTTACGTTATCCATATCATATATTGACTTAAGACATATGTTATAATATGTTGTAATGGTCACAAAAACACCACTCATTATCAAAACACCAGATTTTTTTTATCACGCCCTTAATACGTGACAATATTGTGTACCCTTTTTCATGTATCAAAAAAAAAAAATTTCAATTTCAAGACACTGAATAGTATTTGTGTGACATTGCAAAACATTTAAAGTTTTAACAATCGCTGTAACGTGATCAAAACTATACTTTACAGATTTTAAAAATTGTAAACAAAGGATAATTCGTCAAGTTATAACGACAAAGTCAATTTCAATTATAAATGATTTTTTGTAAAAGAATCATGAATAAAATTATGCTAGCTTTTCATTTTCTAGAATAAATATAAAGTAACTGAAATTAGTATTGAAACTTCTAATTTATTTACTCTAACAAATTAAATTGAATTTTCGTATAAAATTTAATCATTCAAAAAAAAAAAAAATTGAAGACAATATAAAATAGTGTAACGCTTGAATTACTTTACCATGAATAATACTATAGTAAATCAATAAAATTGTAAATATTAAAATCGTTGTTTATAATAATAAAAATAAAAAATTATTAATATCATGCTTTTGTTTCATGCAATTACATTATTACGCAAAAGTTAAAAAAAGAATATATTTATATCTGAAAGAACACTTTTAATATAAAGTAGATTGGCATCCAAATATATAAAGGCGATAGAAAAAATTATAGTCTTATTATAAACAAAGTTACATTTCTTTTAATAATTTATTAAACATTTTAAAATGAATTGGGTAAAAAAATATTATGTTTTACTTATTGTATTGTATTCATTATTTTTCAGAGCTTTAGCGGACATTGAAGATTTGCCAGAGGTAATTGTATTTTATTCTTTTTTATTATTTGTTTTCTTTAGACTATCTAAGTCACAAGTTTCAGATTCATATTTAGTACAATATACATCAGAGTTAATTACGGTATAATGACTCTTTGAAAATTTAATCGATTTAGTCGGCAATTTTTTAATATAAGAGGGACTCTCCCAAAAAACTATTAAAAAAAGTGGCACAAATTAAAAAAAAAAGATTCTATTGTCAAAAATAAATTCTTCACCCTGTCATATTTTTAATTTCGGGATGGTCCTTATTGTTAACGTGTACATTTGCAGTGCGAGTTAAACATATTCGATTTTAACCCAAGGTTAATCCTTTGCCCTTTTTTTTATTATATTTAAATATCAACCCATCGTGGTCTTTTATTTTTGCTCAATTTAATAACATCACAAGACTAATGTAATATAATATGAGCACTCATTGGGGGACGTGTGCCCCTCCAGGTAATGTGCGATCCTTCAAAAAGTGGTCTTTAAAAAAACATAGTGTATATTAGTTTTATCTTAGATGACACATGACAATAAATACCTACGACCGACTTGCAATATTATAATCAATATTAGACGATGTAAACAATTTATGATAATTACATTTTGAAGTATTTTTTAATAAAATAAACAAAAAAAAATATTTTTGTGGTATTTTTAATTTGCTGGCGCATCAACATTAAAAAGCAGATTGTTTTAAACCGATAATTTCCGAAAATTTTTTCAAACATTTTTGTGAAAAGCATTAAAAAACAGTTATTTGGATGGGGAAGTAAAATTAATTTATGTGACAAATTTTTTCTTTAAATAAATAGGGGAATGACAAACTATGATTTTTTTGTATTTAAACAAATATAGCAATGTTTGTGAATTTTTTATGAAAGTAAAAATACTTTTACTACTTACTGTAATACTTTAATTACGAATACTTTAATAAATAAAGATAATAACGCCATTTTTTTACTGCTATTGTTAAATTTTATAATCATGGACAGGATTACCAATACAGTTGTCTAATACCGTCCAAAATTAATTATTAATAAAAATAAAATTTTATCTAATCCCTCAATTTTCATATAAAATAATCAATAGAGATATTGTTAGAAGACAAGTTAATCTTATTTTTCCTTAGGTGGGCATCATTCACCCACTCTCCTTTACCCTGAAGGGTCATCATATCAAAATTCATTTTTTTTCTAACGAATTTATAATTCTTAAAGTAATAAACATAAATTGATCATTATTTTACCCATTGATTTAAATATAACGAGAAGTATTTCAACCAGGTTTCGAGTTTTTATGGTAAATACTTTATTTAAGAAGTGCAATTAAAGCTTAAAAGATGTACTTGCCCAACCCTTTCCTACCAAAAAATGAATTAGGTTTTGTTAGTTCACAAAACTTTATAAAAATCGAGAATATTTATATTTATATTAAAACTTTTTCGCATTATTCGATTTAAAAAAAAAAAATTCAATATTAAAAAATAAGTAGTATGTATATAGATTTCATTAATTTAAAGTTGTTTAAATTCAATTGGCTTTAAATTTAATTAACTTTTTAGTAAAACTTCATAATCAACATAACTGAATATCCAATTTTAATAATTGCATAGTTCCATATAACATCAACGTTCCTAATAGTGCAATAATAATTATTTCAATATCCATACTTGTTGACACTGTACACTACTTTTAAATCTACAAAAACTCAAGATTTAGTAATGAAAATAAAAATAATGATAATTTTAATTGTATTCCCTATTTATTTAAACACTTTTAACGTTGAATGTAATTACAGGATTATAAATATCAAGTAAAGCAAATTAAAACGAAAGTCTACGACAGTGAATTTATTGACTTTTTCAGTGCGCTAAAAATTCCATTTGATACGACTGAATTTAACGAAAATGAAGTATCACTATTAAAAAGTCCAAATAGCGATGGTGATAATAATATTGATTACAATAAAAAAAAGGTGTTTCAAAAATTTGAATCTAAAATAGAGTCTTTACAGTGTACGAATACCTTAATCATTATGGCAATTAGATACGATATACAAACTACTATGTTAACTGTCGATGGCTATGCTGACGATGAAAAATTTATGAAATTAATAGATTATAAAAATATTTTAGAAAATATGATGTCTGTATTGTATTTTGCTCGTATTAAAGCTAGTAGTTTAATTTTTAGCATTTACATGCGATTTTTGCGTGCAATGCCTGCCAATTCACGTAGAATGATTGAGAGAAAAAAATTCTTTGAAGATAACGATGAAGATAAAATAAAAGCTCATTTTAATTATTGTCAAAATAGTATACTTCTTCCAAAAAAGGGTGATACTGATGAAAGTTCATATTACGAACAACTTGAAGTTTTAGCAATAACCAAAGAATTATACAAAAATCCGAATTTGAACAATATTTATAACAACAAAAATATATTCATCCAACAAAATTTATTACTTTGGTTTTTGTCGAATAAACTCCATGTAATATATGGTAACACATTTAATTATGAGAAAATTAAAATAAATGTCATGCATTTCTCAAATTTACAATTTCGAATTATTTGTCGCTATAATACATGGCTTAACCCTAATTATTCTTTTTTAAAATACTATTCGATAATCCAAAATTTTGTTTACATTAATATTTTAACATACGCATTGATTCATTTACAAATATTCCAAGACATTAAAAGTTTAAATGAAAAAAATGTTTCTACTAATGCCGAATCAAATATCTCTGAAATAACAGACGATCCAATTATAGACAATCAGCACTTATGGAAAATTATCGTAAACCCATTAAAGGATGCTATAGAGTTATTGTCTGAGGAAGATAGTTTAATAAGAACAATTTTTGATTTTATTTCAAATGATTCACCGAAATCATTAGAATTGAAACAATTAGAGTTCAATGCAAGATTTGTTCACTCTCGATTATTACAAATTTTGGAAGAAGAAAGTAAAAAACAAATAATTTCTATCCCATTATACATAAAGAAGCGTATGGAATTGAAAATTAAGTTTGTAACAAAAGAAATTCAAAAAAATACTTCATCTTTCACAAATTACGTGAAAGAGGTTAAACAATTATTAACACCTATTGGAGGGAATTTGTTTTTCATTAAATTTTTTAGCGTTGACATTCTAACTTCTTATAATAATCCACCTTTTCCTTTTATTAATTATTCAGAATAGAATAATATAAATTTTTTTATAACAATAGAAGCTTTCACTTAATTATTGTTATTGTAAAAAAAAAAAAAAAAACCTAGTAAAATTAATAACTTTTTAGCTTCACATAGAAGCTAGAATATTTCATTAAAATATTGTTTCTATATTTTAAGAAATATCATATGTTAAATACTAATTGTATTACTACAATGTGTTATGATATAATTAAAAATAAATAACCAACAGAAATCACTACTGTGCTACTTTTGTTTTATTATAAAATGAATAAATCTGCGAATATCCGATTACCTCCTCCGAAAAATGTCCTGAATCTAATTAATTTATAGGTTTAAAATACAAATTACGAGGTATAACAGTATTGTGTTAGACCAAAAACCATCGTCTCCTCTTGCCCCAATCTTTACGCTTCCTTGTATATTTCACAAAAAAATTATTGAACTACAATGTCTTAATAAAAAAACTATTTTTAGAATAAATATATATATATATATTTTTTAAACTAATTGTTACCGTTTAAATCAATCATTTTATTTATTTAAAGTAAATAATTTTTAAATTCGTTAGTGTAAGTTATCATAAATCAATTAATAAAAATACATAATCATATGAATAAAAAATATTGACCCATTTCACTTATAATCTAATACCGGAAATAATACAAGAACAAAAAAGTAAAAAAATAAAAACAGAACTGTTTCTAAAATTATCAATTCGTAATACTCATACCACTGACGAAAAATAAAAAAACATAGGTTAAGTATACTTAATACTAGGCTTAGATTGTGTAAAAATATTACAATATTACATTATTCAGTCAATTGTGTATTTAGAAAAAGTTTTACAAAATTAAAAGAAATATAAATGTAAATCGAATAAATATCCAATCTATTGAAATCCTAACAGGACAAAGATAATTTTTAAAAAGATGAAATATACGCTTTAGTAAAATAAAAACTTTTATTTGCAATGAAGTTCAAAAAATAAAATTATCATAAATTAAAATAACTAAAAATAGCTAAACTGAAGAATATTTTTATGATTGTATACTAAAATAAAATCCAATAAGAATAAATCATTCCGAATAAAAATATTGTACTTCAGTATTTCACAAATCAACTAATCGAACAATTCTATTTATTGTATATTTATTTACAACCTAAAAAGAAACGCAAAAATACAAAAGAAACTAAGATCAAAAACATTAATTCAAAATTATTAAATCAAAATCTGAAAAATATTTATTTGCAAATATTTAATGAAACTAGACCGGCAAAATGATAAGAATAATTTTATTTAAAAAAAAACTCAATAGGAAAATCTATTTAATGAAAATTTTAAAACAGAACTCGCATAATCGTTGAACTAATTATTATTCAACGATATATTTTTTCTGGAAACCAATAAAAATTATAATTCTACAAAAGTTAACATAAGCATTCATTAAATATAAAAGCGTGAGACGTAGTTTAAAAAAAAATTCTTATATGTAGAGAAAACATTATAAAATTTACTATACATATAAGTCAATGTTGACATATGTCAACCGTCTAGTGGCAAAAACAAGTTTCTTCAGGAGACAAAAGAGGTTATAACATAAAAAAATCAGTAATCAATGAATATATAATTTATAGTTCTACTGTAAGTAACAGCCAGGTTAGGTTTAATCTAAATATTTATAATTTTATTACACCAAAAATTAAAAAAATGACAGCGTATAATATGTTATACACTATATATGTTATATACTAATATAATAATGTATATGATAGAAAGTTATAGTTCGTTAAATTAAAACTTTGAACGTTAAATAAATGTACTTTTTTTATATGAAGACTGATAGTGTTGAATGCTCATCGGCTAAAATAGAAATAGATCAATCAAATGAATATTATCAATTTAAAAAAACGATATAACTAACTACATATTTTTTTTGTCAAAAACGCATTATTTTTTTTTATAAGTGCATAATACATGCATAAAAATTATATTTGCTCTATAAACACATTTTTTTAGTAAAAGTATACAAAAAATTGAAGCTATGAACATAAGGAAATTTTATCAGGAATAATAATCTTTTTTAATTTTTCAGCGTTTGCCACGTTTGACATTTTCACTATAATCATTGTAAATCATAAATTCAGTTAAATTATTATTAAAAAGAGTGTGCGAGATTTTGTTTTATTTTATTATTTTGTAATATTATTTATTTAACAAAAACGGATATAACGTTGACGGGTTTAATAGTTTATTTAAGCAAAGACTTTAATGGATTATTGAGTAAAAATCGTTTAAACACGTAAGCAATACACATTTGAATTTGGCGCATTTGCATCTAAAGGGTTCCAACTAAAGTGTCAAGCGTAAATAATAAAAATAAAAATGTATATATTAATAATTATGTTTAGTACTAAACTGATGATTAAAATAGGCATAAATAACTTTCTAAAAATAAACTATTAAATATAATTTAATTTAAAACATTTACTTTTTAAATAAAATATATCTAACGTATAAAAACAAATTAAAAAGTTGCTTTCCACGGTAAAATGAAATCTACTTTCATGAACTCATCTCAGTCAAATTATAATCAAATTTTTATTGATAATGCCTAATAAAATTTATTTAAATCAACAACTGACATAACGGTGTATTTTAGTTGAGTGAATAGCTTTATTGGAGTCCTTGGAATTTTTGAAATATGAACATAAGTTACGTATATGCCACGTACTTATATTAAAAATTTAATACGCTCGAGAAAACCTGCCGAAGAGCTTTTATTTGTATAAAGCTTAGAATTACAGTATTTTCTTTTGCAATATTTGAAAAAAAAAACTAACTTTAACTTGCACTTAGGTCATTGTGGTAATTTAGATTGATCAATTTTTTTTTCGAATCTCATTAATTAGACTTAAATAAATTCTATACGTTTATTTTCTAAAAATTACAAGCATTTCTTGTATCACAAACAAGGAAAAACGTTTGATAATTTATTCAAACTTAAAATCACTTACTTAACCGTGTTTTAATTAATGACTGAGTATAATTACATAATGCTTTAAAAGTACCTACATGGATTAAGAAGGTTTCACCTTAAACCTGCAGATTATATGTACTTACTAGAATAATATAAAAGTACGTGTTTGATTAATGATTGAGTTTGTTTTTCGAAAATTCTCTTAGAAAAACTATTATAAATTTTCATGGTTTACAAGCATTAATTTCGTTAAAGTATTTTTTTTTTCAGAATTAATTAAGTTTCTATCTAAATTGAAAGACGAACCTTTTATTTTATTTAATAATTGATTCATTAACTTTTTAATTGACCATTTATTTAATTAAAATTTGACTATTTTCAATTATAACAGGTGTATTTATAAATTAAGAATTTACAAATGAAGCGCAAATTTACAAAATTCAAACTCTATAATTTATTTGGATAAATAAATGTTGTATCCTTTGTCATTGAGAGCAAACGGAATTGTTTCGACAAGAAATAATGTATTTCAATGTTTTTCCTTTTATCTCTTTTTATGTATTTTTTGGGTTAGAACGCTATCAAGAGGGTCTTGAGAATTTTACAAAAGCTTTCCGAGCTCCATTCGTATACATGTTTCTTTTCGTATAACAGTAATTTTTATTGGGCACATACGTGCAAAGGTTTCGTAGTTTAAGTTTTATTTGGTTCTCGAGTGAGGTTGTGTTTAACTTTCAGCCACTACTCAATTAGATTCTCTCTTTGATACATGTACCGACATTTGTTCTGAAATTCTGATTTTCAACTATGAAACTTTTTTATGCTAGACGCCCTCCAACGATGCAGTAAAATATACAATTGTCGTTTTTTAAACGAATTGTTTCAATAAAACCAAACGTACTATCTACAAACTGCTCTTGGCAAAACTGTGTTTATATAATTTTGTTTAAAACATAAACTTTAAACGCATTATATTTCTTCGTGAAAACAACAATTCGTCCTTTGCAATAATATAATCATTTACTTGGAAATTATTTGTATTAATGCGTTACGTTTGTAAACTAAACACAAAATGTACGTACCACGCTGAACCTTTTTTTTATTAAATTTTATGATCAAGTTTCTTTTAAACTTTAACAATTCATAAAAAAGTCACGTACTTTTTTCGAAGACCAGTAATTTGTTAGGCACCTAACGAGTTTTAAATATGATTGAAGTATCACTTTTTATAAATTAACACTGGCAGTACCCGAATGTAAATCAAAAATTCGGTTTTTAATAATTAGAACATTAGCTATTTTCTTTGGGAACATTAACTCATCAGTTATTTGTTTTTAAGTTACAAACTCTGTTTATATTTGGTTTTAACCATAATTATTACGTAAAGGAAGGTATCCCTCAGGACTTGTGGTTGGCACGAGTAAAATAGCTCTTGGCTCCAAAATTATTGTATGATATTTAATACTATACTAATATTTTAGTTAATAAATGGTGTTCTTGTGTTTTGTTTTATGCGCACCGAAAACTCGCAACAGTAAAATAAATTCAAATAATAATGTAAATATTGATCAAGTATTTAAAATTGAGTGTATTACTATTGTTTAATGAAACAGTAATAAAATAATTTTCAGAAAAACCAATTTTACCGTAGTTGACATACGACTTCGGTTTTACTTACGAACATTATTATAATTGTTGTTCATTATTATTTTAATCAAACAAATACTTTAAGTAATTTATATTTTATAAAAAAAATTACTCAAACTATGTTTGGAAAAAAAATTCAAGTTGCTCGAAAACTTACACACTAACCGAGCCCACAATTGTTATAGCTTTAAGTACCGTTTGATCGTTGAAGTTAATTAATCAGACACTACTATCAATTTAATTGATTACAAACAATTCCATTTTACCTAAAAAGTTTATACTTACCGAAGAAAAATAAAATAACCCTATATGGTTTTTATAAAACAGTTTTGTGTAAATTTAATGCTAAAGCTTGAGTAGGTTAGTAATGTTATAAATTAAATGAAAAAAAGTAATCATTTAATAATATTCATATGTTTACTTTGAAATGGTAATTATTTTATTTTACATATATAAAAATTGGTTTGTTTACAATTTGCGAACAGAAGAAACAAATTATAATTTTCTGAGTTTGACAATAACAAAAAAAACATAAATATTCATATAAAAAAACAT